CACTAAAGTTGAATGCATTTTCTTTAAAAAGTTGTCAATATGATTTAACTCTCCATAAAAAGACACTGTCGACTGAATACTTTAAAAGTAGACTAATTAAAAAAGCTCTGTTATTTCTGTGAGAGCACCTTTTAAATAGAGAGGCCAATTTTTCTCTCCTAAAAAAATCAGAAAACACGATTGAAGAGCTTTCTGCTTCACAGAGGATGCTTTAAGGAACTAAGGTTCCAATCCTGCAACATATAATGTGTGAGGATAGCAGTCTGCTCAAACATGGTACATTGCTGGATCAAGTCTTAGCTCTCCAACTTTACAGGGGCAACGTGAAACTGTCTATGTACAAAGTACATAAATATGTTTTTAAAAATAGAATTTCTCCTCACTAACTGTATTAAATTATAGTAATCTTAGATGTTCCTGGTATTTACAGTAGGTGCAGTTTTCAGACAGAAATGTGATTTTTTTCAAGTGGGCAGTGTTTCTTTAACCATCTGAAATACTCTAGAAAACCGTATATTGAAAAAGAAAAAAGTATTGGCAAAACTTTTTATTGTTTATAGATTTATCACATGATTTACCAAAAAAAAAAAAAAATCCTTGTAACCATTCTGAAATACATCGAGGTGGAAAAGTACGGCTGGGCAAAAGGAATAACTGGGCTAGAGTGGGCCATTTGTCTGAAATATATCTAGCTTTGTGCGTCTGTAGACTAGTTCGATTAGTAATTGGGAGAAACGCTGTTCCTTAGTTTAGTTTCGAAAACATGCAATGCTCGGCATCAGTTATTTGGCTCACTGCTGAAAGTACATAGAAACGAGGAGCAGGGGCTAGTGCTTTCCCTTACCAACGTGAACATTGTGGATGAGTAATTAAAATATAGAATGTGGAAAAGTAGGCCGGAATTGACTAGAAATGAATAAGCATGCATTCTGTTGTACAGATGTTGGGAACAGATTATTTCGGGCACCTCTATCTAAATCTTATTGGATTACTATGTAAAATCAGTCATATGCCATGAAGATTGTTTCTCTTCCCATTGCTGTTTCCTTCTTTATTTTGTGATGTAGCTGTATAGGTAGTTATTTAGCAAAATATCCTGTCTGCCAGGTGTGGGAACTAGCTGATTGTATTGTAATACCAGATCATTACTTAATTCATATGCAACATAGCCTAGCATATGGAAAGCATTATAAATCTATTTACAGTGTGGCTGGTCTGATGATAACATTATATTACATTCCCAGGTGAGGCAATTTAAGCAATTGGTTTGCCATGTGTAGGCTATGGAAATTAGCTTCTAGTATGCTTTAGTAATAGACTAACTTCATTGTTATGCTCAGATTAGTATAACAGAATTCTTACACTTGGGTTGCATGTACCCTACTTCACATGTAAAATCATACAGGGGGTGGTACTGCAGATCACAGTTCTTAATTAGTTTAAGCTGAGTTAATTCATTTTATTTCTAATTTTAACTGTGGCTGCCCATGAACACATTCAGTTCAGTAGGGAAATGTTAAGGCTTGGGTCAAGTAGACAGATTGTTTAAAGCCAAATTGCCAGACAGGACTGAGCAAGTGTATCTGTGTGAACAGGGCTTTAAGAAAATCATCCAATCAGTATGCAAAAATCTTGTTCATAAACCAAGTGAGATCTGCCTAGAATCAGAAATTATTCCTTGGCAGAAGGTCTGAGTACTGTAGTACATTTAAAGCAGCTACTGAAACTTTCTTTGTCTAGAAGTTCTTCTGGCTAGTACCTTAGGCCCTTTGTGTAACTGTGTGCATTATACTATACCGCTTATGATCTTTGAGCGTGTACAAGTATACCGATATACTCAGTAACGTTAAACACTTGTGCACAGAACTTAGCACATATACATACAAAATGCAAGGAAAACTTCTGCTGTATTTGACAAACCTTTGCAGAGAAAAACTGTACATAGAAGCTCTGAAACTCATATTGAGCTGCCCAGAAAATGCATTGGATTACAAACTCAGTAAAGCTTCTGTCTTTTCTAGAAACATACATATAAAGTACCAGTAGACAGTGGTAACTGACAACTAAGACTAAAAATGTTGACAATTTTTTGATTTGCCTGGTTAGCTTATGTATAGAAGTCATTAACTATTTATAAAATGCATTATGAATTGGGTTCCTTCAAACTGTAGCAGAATGTGTGACATTTCCAGCTCAAACTATCATGCTTGCATTTGGCTAAAGTACATATTTGTATACTGTTGATAGTTATGAAGAAAAAAAAAATCTTAAAATATTTATAATCATCAGATTTGTATTAATCCGTTTTCTTGTTTTTAATTTTGATTAGTCAAATATAAGTATTAGCCAAATTACTACAATCATTATTTTTATTTTTTGTTAACGAAAATAAAGTATTGATGTTTTGTACAAATCCTGATAGAACAAATGAGCACTTTAGTTCCAAGGTCCTTTTATATTATTGATTCAGGTGGTGGTGAAACTGTGATTAAAAAGTAATATCAAATTATTTATTGATTAAGGCAAAGAGTTGCACCTAGTCGTAGTCAAAAGATTATTTCTTTCAGTACAACTGCTGATTTTCTAATCAGGCCAGATCATTGTAATAAAAGAACAATGGTACAGACATTATTAGCTGCACTTATATTGACATGAATGATAGGTATAGTGTCTTTTTGAGGGGGGAAAAAATAGAATGATTGCAAAAATGTTGTGATTCTTTGTCATAAAGCACACTTTTTCTCATACAGTCCCTTGTAAATTGGAACAATCACCACTTTAATCATTCAAATGAATTATGTGAAACCAAGAACTCCTCAAACTCTCTATAATTAGCCAAATGGTACACCTGACAACAAACTAATGGAGCATGATGTTTACCATTGCAAGGTAATAGTGAGAAATATGGTTAACATTACCAATGTCCATGGTGCTGCGCTGTTAGGTGATTGTGTAAGACTGTACACTTAGATTGCTGGACCTCATATGTAGAGATTGGATCTTAACCAAAAAAGATTAGATATTTATTGTAGTGTTGTAGCTTGTTGGTCCCAGGATATTAGAGAGACAAGGTGGGTGAGGTAATATCTTTTACAGAAGTTGATCCAGTAAAAGATACTACCTCACCCACATTGTCTCTCTAGATATTTATTGACATATATTTGTAATTTCCCTCCTTGTTTGATGTGTATCAAGTAAAAATATGAAAATAATATAATTGAGCAATCTATGCCAATTTGTTGGCTTTTTGGTGAAAAAAGAGAAAAACAAAACCCATCTCCATATGATTTCTTGCATACTGTGGAGTGTTTTAGTCCCCCATAGTGATGAAATGAATAATTTAAACAGGCAGCTCTGATACCACAGCCTGTTTAAAGGTTCTCATTTCCTTTAATGCTGTAGACTACTTTTGCTTGGATAGTATGAAACTGCTGCGGCTGAGATCTCCAAGTAGGGAAAAAGAGATTTAGCGCAGTTCAGTTCTTGTAGTAGGTTCATGGTATGCTTTGTCCTTGCTATGTATAGCTGTAGCTTCTAGTATTAAACACGAGCAGTTGCACCACAAATTGGTAAGCATTATAATGATGATGATTGTGAAAGGGCAAACCTTAATCATAAAGGATAAACAGCTTAAAAGTGTTGCAAGTAAGCTGGGTGGTGCCCTGGCTTAGTTCATTGGTAGTCTTCTTCCCAGTGGTGACCTATTTTCATATTTTTATTTGGTCACAAATGCAATGAATTTCCCTGGGCTTAGTCTACTCTCTAGTGAACTGTGTCTGCATCCCAAACTGAGGCAAGTTTTTGGTACAGTTGGCAGCCAACTCAGGTAAGGTCTAGGATTGCTGTGTTTCATGAGTTGTTGCTACAGGTACTACTGTAGGTCGGAACTGGAGTGCTTTGGCAGAGCTGTGCAGGGAAGCTTCCACAGACAAAGTCTAGTTGTTGGAGTATTAGTTCTAGCCACTTCCTTTCATGTATATTAAAACTTGTCATATCCATGTTTAATTTTAAAAGCGATAAAACAATCAATTAAAATACCGTGTTCCCTTTCAGTGGTAAATGTAAAAAATCGAAGCAGGAAAGTAAAATGGTACTGTACAGTTCGCTGGCAGCCACAAAACTTTAAGGCTGAGCTCTATCTCTGGAATTCTAACACACCATGGTGCCTAAGTGACCTTGGGATGGTTGTTTGAACCTTTGTTTTCAACTGTTCATAACTTTCTTAAAAATATGCTAATTTGGAATCAATAGGGATGAATATTTAATGAGACAGTCTGGAGTTTGAAGACAGTACAAATCATGACATGGTCTCTTAGGCCCATATTTGGCTTTCTGATTTTACCAAGTTTTGATGTGTTTATATAAAGTGAAGCAAACTAACATTTCCCAATACAGTTGTCCCTCTTCTTCCCTCCTCCCCCCTCCCCCGCCCACATACCCAGCCCTCAGATTTCTTATGGTCTTTTTTTCCCATAGGCCTTTACAGTAACAGCAAAGAAAACCTTATTTATTTTCTAGATCTGTCATTTTAAATCCTTTTTGGCCAATGTACATTGTTAAAAAGTTATCTCTTTGATGTAGGAAAAGCTCGGCTTTCCCTTCCCTGTTTCATGACATTCCTACTGTTTTAGTTCAAGAGTTCCCATTCCAGGTAATAAGATAGCTTCGGATAAATACATCTATGCCTCCATAAACACTTCTGCGGTAATATGTAAAATGTTCTAGTTCTCAAAACTTGAATTGCATACTGTATATCCATGTATTTTACTAGGCAAGTTTTGTAGATGAACGTGACTTTTTACAATCTCCTCAAATATGTTCATATTTTTCCAATAATATATGTTGAAATTCTGCAGTTAAGGAACTTTTCAGTAACTTTACTTGCAGATTTTTATCAAATAGGTATCCATTAGGGGGCTCTCGAGGTTTAAAATGATCAGCCTTGAGACCGATGGCTTCCAAGGTTTACTTCCTAACCCTTTTTTCTTTTTGTTTTACAGAAAAGGTCACGGATTGCCTACAGTGACGAGGTGCGGAATGAGCTCCTAGGGGATGATGGGAATTCCTCAGAGAACCAGGTAGGATGCTAATCAAGAAGCCCTAGTGGGTGGCTGGAGGGTGAAGGAGGTCACTGGCACACTGGGCTTCTCAAGCTGCTCCTTAACAGCATTAGCAACAACTCATGTGGAAATGATACTGTTTAATGCAAAGCTGGGGTCTTAATCAACTTCAAAATGTTTCTTGGAGATCTTACATTTAACCCTTTACCTTGTGATCACTGTCTGCTATCTTTAAAAAAAATCTTTTCTTCTCTTTTCTTTATTATTTAGTACTTAGGGAATAACTTGAAACGCACTGTTTGCTGACAAAGCCAGGGTCTTCACCTCAAACACATGTAAAAGGAATAAAAAAGTACATAATGCAGCTTTGATAATAATGCAGTATAATTAAATCAACACTGGCAGGCAAAACAAATGAAAGTGAGCTCTCAGAATTGAACAGTACCCCTCACTTTCCTTGTGTGCCTTCTTTTCTTAACCAGGTTTTCTATCCGTGTTCCAAAAATGCAAGTTGCACCAGTAAAAGCCTGTAATTCTCTCTCACACATTGTATTAGCGTTTATAATGTTATATACTTCTTTTTATGAAAGGGTGCTTAATTACTATAAGCCCTCCTTGAGTTTTATCATGAAATTGTTATTCAGGGCACTATCATCATGATTCTTATAAGGTCATAAAAATGATAAAGGAAACACTATTTTCAGAGGGATCTAACCCACCTATTAATACTTCATCTGGGATTCAAACTTGTCTTCCAGGTTTTCTATCTGAAAACCGAATTTTATTTTAAATCAATTCCCTTGTCTTCCCTCACACCAAAATTAGCATGTGGTACTTTTCAATTAGAAGTTATTTTAAAGTTTACTTGAATAATAATTTTTTTTTTGCTGTGGTAACTTTGACTTTACAAGTGAAGCTTGGTAAATGATTACTTAACAATAAATTCAATTATTTGGATATTGTAAATTGGGGAGAAATAAGGACCAAATTCTGGAGTTCTATTCAGTTCTGATTTCAGTATGAGTTTTGCCTCAGGAATAGCTGAGTTAAAACTAAGTTAAAGACTTCAGGATTTGTCCCTCAATGTCCAAAATATTGAGATTAAAAAGGTTGAGTACTGAGCAAGTACAATATCAGCAGAACAATATTAAAAGGATAATTGGTAATTTACATGATGGACTTAATACGTATATTGATGAAATCATATATTGTATTTAATATTAATGTATAATATAAAAAGAGTCTGTAATAGCTTTAGACACCTATTTAAAGAGGCAGATATACAAGGTATGAGTTAAAAGTTGTTGTTTTTAAATACAAAAGAGTATGATAGTTTGTTTTAGGAAGAGAATTTTCATAATTTGCATGTCATCATCATAAGTTCAAACATATAAAGGTGTTAAGATAGAATTTGGGTTTTCACGTCTTTTAACTACACCACTGTTTTCACATTTTAAGAGAAATTTGTGTGAGATCAGACATAAAAAGGCAGGTATGATAAGAAGTTTTACTTATAACAGAATACCTAATGTGTGAGTGCGATATAAAATGTTGTTTTTGCTTTTTAAGGAAAGGCTGAATAACTGATTCACAGGAGCACTTTCTGTGAGATGTGATCTCTTTTCGAAACTGTCAGGGAGGAAAAAAAATGGTCTCCCCTAAAAGAGTTACATAATAATGTAATTTTAAAATTATATGCCAGCGTGGGGTTTGTTTGTTTTTGATCTTTGAAATGACCACTTGTTACCTAGGGTAAAATGTGGAGTGGGGAGAACACTTGGTTCTCTTCAGAAATGTAAATCTGTATTTACAACTCATGTCTTAAACTTGACACACTTTGTACCACCACCCAAAAAAAAAAATTTTTTTTGTTTTCTTTTTTGACAAACATTTTATAAGCATGAAACTCCGCTGTGAAACTGGCTTATTTCTTTTAAATACATGAAGACTAATGTTCACAAAGATCTTCCTCATATTTATTGGATTGCTCCAATTCTTTCTATCACTTTTTCATATGAAAATATAATGATGATTATACTTGTTACAGCTAAGAAAATACTTAATCATAAGAGTATCATCTTGGGTACATGCATCTGGCTGGTTATCACACACACAAACGTTTTAGTCTAAAGTTTGACATACCTTTTGGTGCTGTTTTTTTAAATCAACCATAAATGTAAGTTTTGAGTATTTTTATGTGAATAATTAGCCAACTATGTAGAAGTATTTAATCCAATAACCCAAAAAGCTGTTGCCCTTTGTACTGATATCAAAAGCAGTTTATAAATATAAATCTTTACCTGTCCAACATAACATCCCAATATAACTGAAAACTATATGAAATATTAGGGGTATCTTTCTCATGTGCAAAAGTTTGTTTTAATGTTTGACAGAATAAGTCAGGTGGAAGGACTAACCCTCAGTGTAATCCAGGGTTTAGACTAATTAATTATTTGTTATGTTTGGATTAAATTGACTAAATGAGGTGCTGTTTGTCTTTTCCTGCAATATTCAAACCTAGTTTTTTCTTAATGATTAAATCAATGAAAAACAGGTGTTGTCTAAGAATTTCTGCTTTAGCAAACTAGAAATATTGGTAAAATCCATCACTGGAGGAGATAAATATCAGGGTAGGCTTGAGGGTTAGCCAGGTGAGGGAGAGAGAAACTTCTAAGCTTGTACAATACTTTAGATGGAACATTGGCAGTCACATTAAACTTTTTTATAACTGTTTCTTGGAGAGGAAGAGCAAATGGAATTGAATATATTTATATATGATAGTGGATTAAGTTAACTGAAAATAAGATTGGGGAGAAAGTGAAGGATCAGTTGCCTGGTTAGTCTTTTGTTTATTCAACTGTTAGCTCTTTATTCATGTTTCAAAGATATAGTTGCAACGATATACACAACTTAGTTAGTGGATACACAGAATATGCCTGAGGTTATGCAGGTAAAGAAGTACACAGAATTCAGTCTCCAGTTGTTCCTCAAAACAGATCTGCATAGGAACAATTAATATTGCAAAACATTGCAGATGAGGGTGTCCTGGTCTTTTCCCCACTTAAGAAATTATCATCATGTGTACAGACAACTGTGTCTGAGAATATGGTCATGACTCCATGCTTATGCCAAGATACGGCTAGTGTATAATAGGTACAGTATATAAAAGCTGCTGGTGTTGTCAAAATATGTACAAATTCCAGCAATCAAAATTTCTTTTAAAATTAATATATCATTGTTTGGTATGGTAGATACAAGTGATGGCATGCTGTATTTAATGAAGTAATTGCTTGCTTTGTATACATTAATTTTCTCCTAATTTAAATCCAGTGAACATAATCAGATAAAAGCACTTTGAGTTATAAAAATATGAGACAAAAAAAACCAGCCACCCTATTGTGCATGTTTGGGTTATCGTTTTTTCCAGGACCATTGTCTTAAGCAGGACTTTTACTTTCAAGACATATTTGTCATTCAGACTGGCAATATTTATCAAATTCCTTGAAAGACTTGAGCGCTTCAGTGCAGTGCTACAGTGCTTAAAGTTGTGACTTCCATTTATTAGTTATATTAGTGAGGTTGTTTTATGTGATGACTCCATATATTGTTAGAAAGCATCTATAGGGTTAAATAAGAAACCTTTTTATGCCAAAAATATAGCGTGCAGGTATTTATAGCATTACCAATCTGTTTGTTTGAAATATAATACTATTGCCTTCCATTCCCAAACTAGATTTGCTAATATGTTAGAGTAAATACTTATTAGTTAACCAGAAGGTTAAATTAAGTGTGTGTGTGTGTGTGTGTGTGTGTTTTACATCACACACTGTATGTGTGATTTGTGGTTAAAAAAAAAAATGTTGTGGCTACTTAATTTCGGACTACAAAGTTCTGATAATATTAGATTTGGGCTTGCTGTGCATAAAGTATGTCAAACTTCAGTTACAGACCAGGGGGTGAAGTTGGTCAATTTAATTCCCCGAGATCTAAAGAAGGTTGGTATCATTTCATATAGCCCTGGCAGAGCAGATCATTACCAGACACAAATCTGTTCGTTACATGCCGAGGGTTTATAGCAAAATAAATAGACTGTCATCATAAGTTCAGAAAATTGTGTGTTCGACCCACGATAATGTGTAAAGGGCGTTTAATAGAGTTCAGCATTTATTCGTTATCTGTATGCGGACAGAGACAACAGTAGCGTTATCAGCTTTTTCAAAAAAACTTGGGTAGTTTTCTGTGTCACGTGACACGCCTCACAGATGCACACACACGCGCGCACACACACACACACTGCGGCGCCGTTTTGATTTTAGTCACAGCAGAAGGCTTAGCCACAAGAGATTCCGCTGGTTCAAACCAGCATAAACCAGATTTTTTTTCTTTTTTTCTTTTTTTTTAGTCTACAAAGGAACAGATTACCTCTTGTATCAATTCCGTATTGGGAGGGGAAAAAAATCTTTGTTTCAAAAATATGCTGATTATCATAAACTAAAATGGTGGCAGTATATATTTAAATGCTGTTTACAACTGAGCAGCAAGCTTAATAAAAACACATACGTAAAAATTAAAAAGGCAATATGTTTCCTTCAAGTGCATTGTTAGATGGCAAAAAAATACATCTTTTGTTAATTTGAATGAATATCTCTCAGACAACATTTAAAAAAAAATCTCCCATTACCTAGCTTAGCTGCAAATCCTATGCAGAGCTTAAATTCAGCCATGCAGCACAAACAAGATAGAACATTTTTTGTTTGGAACCTATTGAAAAAACAAATGTGCAGCGTTTTGAAACTCTCTCTGATTATAGCAGGGTGGCATGCCCCAAATGGGCTCTATTGCAGGAGAGTAGTTTTAAACTTTGGCCCTTTAAGTATCATAGTCAACTGAAGAATGGTGACCTCAGAAAGAAAAGATAGCTATGTGATCAACTCCCAGATCATCTCTTTCTAAAGAGACGTAATGTTTGCCTTTTTGGGGAAGGAAGGGGGGGAAGATAGAGAGAGAGAGAGAGAGAGAGAGAGAGACTGATTTATGCTAGGCCAAGTACTTGATTTTAAGAAGTGGTTTGGTGGGTAAAGAGTGTGGTTTTCTTTATATCAAATTCTTGGAAGTTTCCTTTATCTTTCATTTTAAGTTACTGCAATTACCCTCCTAATTTATATGGTTAGTAACCTTTTGTCTCTTGTTTTTTGGTAATGGGTTGAAGTATAGGTTTAATTTTAGACCGACCATATGAAATACTAGGGAACCAATGGATTTTTATTTTTGGTCGTCTCTCTTGCTGGAGATTCTCAGTATTTGTAAACATTCTCATCTTATATAGAAGTTGAATATTAGTCTTGTGAAATTGTAAATGAAATATGAGCATAGACTGAGATTGTCACTGTCCAATTCAACTGGAATCGGTGAGAAAGCTCTGTTTTTTCATACAGACCATCCCTTTGCATACACTTATTGTGAGTAATTGTACTATTTTGTTCTAGTACAACAAACTAATGGATCGCTCTCCATTTTGAGAGATACATGTTACAGTGTAGTTGGTATACAAGCTAGTTGGGTTTTTTTAAATAGTCCTGCCAATACAATGGTATTAATAGTGTTAAAAAGGTAGATTGCAGTGAACTGGACTGATTTACGAACACACCTTTATTTAAAAATATATAAAATATAGTGATCCTGAATTAGAATGCATATGCAAAGTGGATTTTTTTTAAATAAATCATGTTTCATGATAGCCATTATTCCATTTACCTATTATTAAATGTATTGTGCACTAAATAAGTATTCTCTTACACTAACCCACATAAGCTGGGTTGTTTTTAACTGGAAAAAAGGTTGCTATAATAGGTTCAATAATAATAATGCATTTACATTCTGAATGAGAATTATATGAATTGGTGTACCAGTGACAAACTATAAAGATACTATAGTCTATTAATAAGTCAGATCTGTTAGTAAAATAAGAAACCAGTTGTCACAACTAAAAAAATACAGAAAACATTCTGAAAACTTGTATATACAAAACCACTTCAGCTGTACAATCTTAGAAGAGAGGAACAGTAAACTTGTTTTTTTCTTTATAATATAGACTTCTATGAAGTCATTCCCCTTTATTTCATGATGGTGTCTTAGATGTGGTTTAAAAGAGAATTTCACACTATTCTCTTTGTTTAATGTGACAGTGTGAGAAAGTGATCTTTATTCGTTCAAAAAACTCTGCATGTAGTCTATGTTTAGGTTCTTTTAATGTGTTTGTCTGTGATTTTTAAATGCTAAACATGTAAACAGATAAATTGTCAATGTTAATTCTGTATCCTGTCACACAACTGATCTTTCTTTCCTGCCATTTCTTTCCTTTTTATCTTTTTTGTGCGTTCATGTTGCAGTTGATAAAATTACGTGAAGAGGTGAGTACTTTCTTGCTTTTTGTTGTCTAGCTTTCCCTTTAAAGCTGAGTTTCCAAATCTGAAAGTAGATCTTTTTGTTATTGTTGCAGGGAAATCTACACAAAGCAAAAATATTGATTACATTGCTTAAAAATATTCACTGTTATGGGTTTCCTCTCCCCCCACCCCCCTATACACTATACACTTACATGGGACTCCCTAGATCAAACCTTAGAAATTAAAATTCTTTGATAGCAGAGAGAATTTTTAAAGGCATTGGAAAAAGAAGGGAAAAAAAACTATGATTTGATCTGTTCGAATATCATGATCAGATCAAGTGGAGTAGTAATCTTGTTTGCATCACAAAATCTTTGATGGGGTAAATACTTTTGTACATTGGTATTGTAAATGTAAGCATTGCTTTGATGAAAACCTACATTGTAACACTATCAAACATATGTAATACTTCACTGTGCAATGAATTTAGTTTAGAGCAATTGAAATACCTATTGTATGAACGCACTGCATACACAGTGAAAATGTAGTACAAGTAGACCTGAACACACACATCAATATTTATTATTTATTTGTGTGTATGTGGTAGATCTGTAGGTGTAACATGAAAGATCAGTATTCTGAAGTACCTGTCCTTTCACTTAGGAAATGGCTCATAAATATTTAGAGCCAGAAGTCTAAGTTTTTTATGGTCAGTTACTGAAATTTTATTGTGTATTTTCTAAAGATGCTGTCCACTGTAGTGTGTTGTTGGGGTGTGCGTGTGTGTGTGTGTGTGTGTGGGTGTGTGTGTGGGGCATGTGCAAAAGCAGGTACTTGCACTGCTTTTATTATTTTTTTCTAATTACTACCAAGAAGGGTTTAGTAGAGTTGCTAGCAGGCCAAATTTCTGAGTAGACTCCTAGAGAGAGCTCCTACTAAACACAGTATTAACATTTTCGTATGGTATGTTAGTCTTGTCTTTATTACCTTCTGACTGAACAACACGATGATGATGATGAACTGACAAATCAATAATGGACATTACACTCTGGAAAAAGTATTTGTCGTAAGTTCTAGGTGCGATGATGGGAGAGAACTGGGAACTAACCAAATAAATAGCAACAAAGGGGAGTTCTTGATTTAACAAGGCTTTAATTTTTTTTAAAGAATCTTTCACCAGTGTCCTAGTCACACTGCTTGTCTCTCCTTCCCAGTCCAAAATGGATCTAGTTGATAATGAGAAGAAAAAGAAAGCTTAAAAACAAAGTAAATATATGAGACAAAGTGAAAGCCCTACCTAGTTCCCCTCCTTAATATTTTCTTTATAGTCCCTGTATTTAAACAGATAAGAACGTTGTTGCAAGGATTCTAATAATGTGATTTCTGACTATTAAGACCAGAAATGACTTGTAGCAAAGGATAGTTCTTTAGACTCACACTTGCCGAGCCCTTTCATGGAAGCACGTAGACGTGCATATGTGTGTAGATTTATAGAAGGCTGCAATAGGAGCATTTTGCTAACAAATCATGTTTTTTTAATAAACATGGTTACTGACCATTTGCAAGATACTTTCAAAATTGAATGCAGACTATGAGCACAACTGTCACTTAAATAGTAAGTTTTGTATAATAATAGTGATGAACATTAAAACAACCACATTCCAACAAATTAGGTAATTCAGCATTTGTTGCACAAGGCCATGCCTTTGTCTTTAATCAAATCTTTGAGACTTTAAATCCTTTTGTATAGCAACCTAATGAATCACGTTGTATGACATACGAGTAATTTCTTCATCTTTCATTATTTTGTAAGTTTTATCAGTTACCTTTTTTGTCATCTCACTGCATGTTCTGGGAGCCACCAAAGTATATATCCAATTAAAGAATTATAATTCTGGATAGACTGTGATTGAATTGACAGAGAAATAATTTAAAATGTATTAAGTTTGTGTTCTATCTGTACAATAGGTTATAATTGTGGTTGTATTTTATGTTGAGTGCGAAATGCACATTGGAATCTAAATGAAGCATTGACTCAGGAATGGTTCTAAACTAGTCACATAGTAAAACATCAAGGCTTCCCTAATTATAGTTCTCCTTAGGAGGTATGAACTGATTTTAAAAAAAAATTGTGATTTGCCATACTGTTTGTTAATAAAAAGTACACTTCCTCTCATTCCAAGGCTCTCTTCTAACACACATGCAGTACACAGAATTCTATGGAGGCTGTGTTGCTCTGTCTTTTTAGTGTCTGAAATCTCAGTTTGAATCCAGCCCACATGGAATGATTAAATCTCTAGTGATAGCATGCCACTTTGCAAAACTTCCTCATATAACTCCAGATGGAGGCTCTTTCTGAAGCTACAAGACAGACCTTACTACCCACCTTACAAAGGGTAGGGGATAGTGTGAGAGAATGAGTTTGGGGAGGGGTGGGAAGGAGTTGAAAGCATCAGCTGCTACTGTAGTTCATTGCCTTTCATGACCAAAAGGACGGTATTCATGCAAAACCAAACACAGAATGTAAATAACACCATCCCTTAGAACAAAAATTAGATTTTATTGTAGAATGACTTAGGTGCAAAGGTTTTGAAATCAGAGGTAAAACGCAGCACTGAGTTCATGTTAGCTCTGAATTCACAATACTCTAGTGTTCTAATTGCTTAGAGTAGGGCTCGGCTGGACTCGGGTGTCTTGCATTGCTTTTTCAGTATAATTTTTTCTTATCAACTGTATACAAACACACACTAAAATACTCGCATTTTTGATTGGATAAGTGAGTTGAATTATAACAGCATACAATGTGAATTCTGATTTCCTCCTCACATGCACACTTCATCAGATCAAAAAAGCTTTTCAATTTTAAGCATATGACAACACTAAATAACTCTCCTGTGATTAGAAGGTGCTGTGGGTTGTGCTGAGTCCTGGAGACTGTAACTACAGTATTTGAAGTGTCTCTTCTTAACTTTTGGAATTCTCATCTTTTAAACCCCGAAGTATCTCTGCTGATCCTATAATCTCAGCTTTCCTTTCTTAAGGAAAATATTTTTGACACATTATTATACAGATATGGCTCATTCTTTTTAAAGTTTAAACTAACATAAATTGAGTCTCAATACAATTTTTTTTTTTTACAAATTGCATTGTAAGCAGACACATTTCTTTAAACAGGCTGTATGAGCCATAGAGAAAAAGAGGCTGCTATTATGAAAAGCTACCTTTAAAAAAAAAAATTACATAAAATTAACACTAATTATTTAGATTGGCCAGGAGTCCTAAGAACACGCACCACTCTAGCTGCCATTATGATTTCAATTAGAACACTGTAACTTATGTTTTTAAATGTTAAGTGCTTGTGCTTCTTTTTTTTTTCTTGGTGGCCTGCCCACCATGAACGTAAAGGCTTTTGTGCAATTTACTCTTAACCTATCCACTGTGTATTAGACGACTCTATTAATTATTATAGACTGTTATTGCAGCTTTCCTGACCTTCACTTTGGGTCCTATCTGTGCTGATCTAAATGCATTGTTTTAATGATTTAAAAAAAAAAATTCAAGGCAAGCTTTGATGTGGCTTTAGCTGCCTCGATCGTCTGGCCGCATCTCAGAGATGTGTCACCTATGCCGGGAGGGAATAGGAAAATCACGTTTTGAATGGTAATGATAACATACTAATCACTTCCTTTCTTTGAAGATAGAAGCGAGATATTCTGTCAGCATCCCTGGCTGCTAGAGCTTGGAGGCATTGGTCTAGGTGTATTAGCTTAAGTGTGCATGTCAATACAGCTTGCATCTCCCAAGATCCATAGGGGCTCATTAGAGCAAGGTAGATCGTTTCGGTAGACAGCCACTCAGATAATATGTATGGCACCTCCTTTTTATTATTATCATCAGAAAGCATTCCTTCGATATTTTTTTTAATGACGTCTGTCAACAAGGCAAAGTTGTAGGAGTTGTTTTTGACACACACCAAAATTGTTTTTTGGGGTGAAGGAAGGGTTGGTGAAAGCAGGAGTCTGATTAGTTTATACATATTTTTGACAGCTTGATTAGAACTAGTCTAGTATTAGTACTCTAAAAAGAGAGTCGTTTATGGGTGGACCATAAAATAGTGAAAACAAATCATTTCACCTTTGCACTATCACTAATTATTGTAAAAATGTGTACAGTGTTATATTTTTGCTGGAGTTCATAAAAAAAAATCTCTTTATGTACATAAACAAGCATGTACCTTTTTAAAAGGTTTTGGTATATATCTTTAGCTTTAGACACCAGTATTTTGTTGCTGTATGTGTTTATATCAAGCAGTCCTAAAGATATATCTGCTGTTTACTATTCTGTAAGAGTAGAATTTTGTTTTTATACAGTAGTACTTTCCATAGTAGTACAGACAAAGTAGAAATATACTCCACTGAAAATTGTTAATATTAAAAATTACCACCTGCAATAATAATGATGATTTGTGAAATTATTGTTCAGTAGAAAATGTGGATGCTTATGTATGATAAAATGGGGAATAAATCTTGAAGTTCATGCCTATTTATATATTGATCTTCAGGCAGTGCCCATATATAACAGAAGCACTAGATTTGATCAGCGTGCTCATGTAATAACAATGAAGCACATATTCACTCTTTCAAAACAAAATGATTGGTACACATAATTATGATTGATCACAGAACCTGCCTCTCCCAATGGTGCTTGTAATAGGCTATTCTGTGAAATATCTGTAGATATTTTTATGTTTTGGCATATGAAAGCATAATTAAAAAAAGTGTCGGGGGGGAGAACATTGTAGACTGCAGTCTGATTTTTTCTTTCTTTTTCTTTTTCAGAGGGCACATCTGCTCGATAACACAGAGAGGCTGGAAAGGTCATCTCGGAGACTAGAGGCTGGATACCAAATAGCAGTGGAAACCGGTAAGAATTCTGAGAGTGAGCAAATTGTCTTGCTTATGCACAGCAGTCTTCACAACACATGACATTTCAGGGAAACTTCAAAGGCGAAGCAGAGACAGCAGCCCGAGATGTGGTTTACATATTGGGGAGACAATTGGGAGCTTATTTGCACTTATCTTTTTTCAAGTTAAAAGGCATGACATCTACTGAAAACAGTTCCTGAGGTTTAAAAGTATACATCTGAAAAGAGATGGAATACTTTGTCTAAATTCTACATTTGTCTTAATGTGCAGTTACATGTTGTCAGTTTACCCACCCGCAATGATTGCTAGCACACACTGTAGACTCTAGTTGTTTTCGTCTTTTACTTTTATTGATATATGTAAAAATTATTTTAATAAATCTTAAATAAATTTTAATAAATATTAACTAGAAACTAATAAATAATAAGGTTGCCAACTCAACTTTCTTGAAATCGATTCTGCAACAGATTGTTCAGGTTTTTTTATATAATGTAGGTAGCAAATTGTACTTTATTTTGTTCAATTTTTACAGATTCAAAGGAAAGAAGGCTAAATCAAAGCTTAATTTATTATTTTTATTACTGATAGTAACTCTTTTCAATTGGTACTTTCAAAATGGCTCATTAAATTATACCTATCAGTGTTTTAACAACAACAACAACGCAACAATAACTAAGCCCCCAGAGTCTAATCTTCTTAATTTATGAATACGTTTATGCAAAATTATGGAAAGTTTCATGCCTATTTATATTTTAAAAGTAAAATAATTTTCTGGGAGACGATTCTAATTAATTGATATATGCTGGTATCCTACAGAATCCAGTATGTATTATTTAAAAGGTAAACTAAGTTTAACCCTTGTAAAGGTAAATACTGTTGTGTTGTTATTGTAAATAACATATAATTAATATGTCCACATTTAAATTATTCTGGAGTTAGTGACATGAAAAATAATGTAAAAGAAGTTGGCAACATACCATATGTGAAAGGGAAAATTAAGTAATTACTCATGAAGAGGTCAGAAAAATGGAAATGAACACCATATCAGTAAAGGTAGCTTTGCTGTAAGTTCTCAGAACGTCCTAGCAGTGACCACAACTCTTGTTGAGAAGGACTGTTTTAATGAGTTAAAAATTCAACTCTCTGCTTTGTTATCCTATCATGTTTTTTCCCAACCAAAGGCTATGTAGAATTGCTGTCTCTCAGTTACAGGTGAAAGTAGTTTATTCCTTCCTCCCACCCTTTGGAATATGGTATCTTAAAAAGAGCCATCCTGTTAACTTCTGTTACCTATGTCTCCATGGCCATCTCTGATATGTATATATGAGTATGGGCCAGGTCCTCAACTGTTGTAAACTGATAATTTCATTGACTTCCCTGGACTTACACCAACTGACACCCGCTGTCCCTATATATCCCTCTCTGTGATCTAAGGTGCAGTTTTTGTTTTATAAGCTGCACAGGCATTTTCACTTGGAAGTATTAGCATCACTGGAATGCAGTTTTCTCCTGCAACTTGTTGTGGGAAGAAGATTAGTAAATTTTCCCAGTGTTGACTATGAGGATTTTGGGAAATAATAAAATTATATTAATTCAGTACAATATAAGAGTTAACTTTTTACACACATGTGGAGCTGTGGTATAATCATTCTGTGTAGTGTTGCCACAAAAGTACAAAATCTCCATTTTTGAACCCCGATTATCACTAAATTGGCTTTCAGACCTAGATGTCCCATGATGATGAAAGGAGAGAAGGTGACAACCATTAGATGTCCAGTGTATTATGTTTTTTTAATATGTATGAAGCCCTTTCTAATTAAGTCAGATTACTTTCACTTCTGAAATACTCAGTAGTTCAAATCCATTTTAGGACTCTCTATAAAATATTTTTGTTATATTCATTGGCAGTTCATAACATTAAAAAAAACCAAAATATATTATACTGTATTAAACCTCCTGTGATCTGCTAAGGATTAATCTGAGATCGCATAGCAAATTTCATACAGGGTGCTTATTGACACATGTTAAATCAACTGCCATAAATTGGAAGTTTTTTGTCATTTGTCTCTTTAAATTGTTTACCTCTCCAGTCATTCATGTATTTGGGAATACAGGCCAAGAAATATTGGGTGTAACTTCCTTCTGACTTCCATCTTTCAGTGGGTAAGCACCTAAGGGTACTGGATCCTCAACAGGACGCAACATACATCACCTTAGCTAGGATCCAATCTGAAATCAACTGTTAGGACTTCAGAATTTACAGGTTGTGACCTATGGAAATTAAATATATGGGGAGACCTTCTGAATGATTAAGGATTAAATTTGCCATATTCCAGGTGACCCCAATGGCACCCCATGACCAATTAACTTTAGTAAAGCCAAAGGTAGTGTGGATCACTAGTACTGGGATGCATTTCACCGTAAATATTAATAGGGATTCATTCCTAACTTATCAAGTGTTGGAGTGTTGATGTAGTAGCACAGCAATTGTACATTCAGTCCAAGCTCTATTTAATTGCTTCTTAGTCATTTAAATGTGTTGAGCTGTACTTCACATGATTCAAACTACACACAGGTCTCATGTCATATGATTTTTGCAAAGAAACCATTTCTTATATGGATTATGTTCTTGATGGCCTCAATGTTGTCTGTAATAATCAGGATGAGACATAATAATGGCTGACAGACTTGTAAATTCTACTTGCCCCCGGCAAGGATATTTTTTCTGTTGATCAATGGGGAAAAAAATGATTTGCACCTTTTTTTCCCCCATTGTTGTTCGCCATCCTGGTAAAGAGGAGACAAGTGGGTAGATTCTTTCTATGGATTGGCGGGAGACTTTTTTTCCAATTTTGAATGGAATACATTTTATAACTCCTTAGGGTCAAATTTTAGTTGCATCCTAACTGAATTCTAGAGTTTCCTGCTCTTCCCTGTAGAAATTACATAATTTGGGAGTGTATCTCTCTCTATCCAACTTTATATATAACTTTTGCAAGCAGGATAGCTTCTCTGAATGTGCAAAAGTTCAAAATGCCTTGTTTAATTCATCTTCAGAAAAGTAATTGGAGTGCAAGTAGTCAGTAATGTGTTGTGTCAGTGGGGGGAAAAAAAGAACTAGCTCAAACCTCATGTGAGGCCATCGTGGTTGGATAGCTTTCAGCAAGACCTTCCTGACTGCTAAATGCTTTCTGAAAGAGAATACTGAAATTAATATCTAGACTAGGGCTGTCCATTAATCACAGTTAACTCACGTGATTAACTCAAAAAAATTAATTGCAATTAAAAAAATTGCAATTAATCACACTGTTAAACAATAGAATACCCGTTGAAATTTAGTAAATATTTTTTAATGTTTTTCTACATTTCCAAGTGTATTGATTTCTGTTACAACATAGAATACAAAGTGTACAGTGCTCACTTTATATTATTTTTATTACAAATATTTGCACTGTAAAAATGATAAAAGAAATAGTATTTTTCAATTCACATCATACAAGTACTGTAGTGCAATCTCTTTATCGTGACAGTGTAATTTACAAATGTAGGGTTTTTTGTTACATTATTGCACTCAACAACAAAACAATTAAAAACTTTAGAGCCTACAAGTCCACTCAGTCCTACTTCTTGTTCAGCTAATCACTAAGACAAACAAGTTTGTTTACATTTATGGGAGATACTGCTGTCTGCTTCTTATTTACAATGTCCCCTGAAACTGAGAATAGATGTTCGCATGGCACTTTTGTAGCCAGAGTTCAAGGTATTTACGTGCCAGATGTGCTAAACATTTGTTTGCCTTTTCGTGCTTTGGCCACCATTCCAGAGGACATGCTTCCATGCTGATGACTCTCATTAAAAACAATAATACATTCATTAAATTTGTGACTGAACTCCTTGTGGGAGAATTGTATGTCTCCTGTTCTGTTTTACCTGCATTCTGCCATATACACCTCTACCCCGATATAACGCAGTCTGATATAACATGAATTCAGATATAATGCGGTAAAGCAGCGCTCTGGGGGGCGGGGCTGCATGCTCTGGCGGATCAGCACATTAGCCTGTCTGGCTCCCACACGCTGCTCTGAGTGGTGTGTTAAGGGTGACGGGCCAGGGCCAAGGGAAATAGGGGTCGATTCAGATGTTCGGGGCAGTGCAGCGGGGTGGGGGGCGGTTCATGGCTGGAAGTTCAGGCCCCAGCCTGGGTGCCTGCGGCTGGAGGGAACGGGTCGGTGCTGCAGCCCCGGCTCCACGCCTCCCACACCCTGGACAGGGGCTGCTGTGTGCTCCCCCGGCTGGGCGGTTTTGCTGTTGCCGCCGCCACTTCATTTGGCTCCTGCCTCCTTCCCGTGCCCCCCACCCGAGCACCTCTGCCCCTACTAACAAAAATGATTTAGTTCGCAAGTTTACAACCACTTTTATCCTAAAGGAATAAAAATATCTTTCCTTGTAAAATTTCAAAGCACATTGTTTCTTTTACACTCTAATCCCTCTACCCCGATATAACGCGGTTTCACTTATAACGTGGTAAGATTTTTTGGCTCCTGAGGACCGCGTTATATCGGGGTAGAAGTGTATATCGTGTTATAGCAGTCTCGAATGATGACCCAGCACACGTGCGTTTTAAGAACACTGTCACAGCAGATTTGACAAAACGCAAAGAAGGTATCAACGTGAGATTTTTAAAAATAACTACGGCACTCAACCCAAGGTTTAAGAATCTGAAGTGCCGTCCAAAATCTGATCAGGATGGGATGTGGAGCTTGCTTTCAGAAGTCTTTAAAGAGCAACACTCAGATGTGGAAACTACAGAACCCAACCCGCCCTTCCCCCCCGCCCCCCCCCCCCAAAAAATCAACCTTCTGCTGGTGGCTTCTGACTCAGATGATGAAAATGAACATGTGTCGGTCCACATTGCTTTGGATTGTTATTGAACAGAATCTGTCATCAGCATGGACGCATGTCCTCTGGAATGGTGGTTGAAGCATTAAGGGACATATG